AGTCAGATAGTGTTATGCAGTCATATTTCCTAACGACGTTTCGAGCACAATATATTGCTCATAATCATATCAAGGTACTCATACAACTTTTTGCTTCGTTTATATACATGAATAGAAATTGATGAGACATTTGAATAAATTCAATATAAGACTTGCGTGAAACAGAAAGGAAGATAGAGTACATTCGGAAATAATATAAGTATTATCAATAAAATACAATAGGACGTGAAATAAGACGACTGTTGTCAGTCAATAAGACCAGAAATAAGATGTCTTATACTAAAACGAATAACACTGTGTGATTTTATTAAAGTGAAATTGTCTTCATAATGGAATTACTGGAATTTATTTAAAAATTAGGTAAAAAATTTTAGTAGTTGAGCAAAGGATGTTTGTCTGTCAGATGCAACTGTCCTTTGTAGGTATTTGCACTAGTGTATTGTAACTTCGCTAATTTAGACACTGGAACGTTCAGTGTATGAAAGATAAAAATAAATTGTAAATAAGTGAGGCTCACTGTGTGTATATTGATAAACCATTGGTTTAGTCAATCACTTTGAATCCAAAATGGTTTACCTGTGTGCCAAAGTATACAATATTGTTACCATTATTAGTCGTCACCCTTTAGATTTAAACTGGAATATAGGCTATAGTAACACTTCTCCTGTTCATCTTTTGATGAAGTCCTCCATATCAACGTCGGAACCTCGTCTAGTTAACCAGTTGCTAGTATTCTAGCCGATCCCAAACCCGGATAAAGAAGGAGGGTTCGACGTGAAGATAGCAACCCTATGACACTAAAAATTTCAAACCGAAGGAGAAACTTCAACATACAAAAACACATTAGGAATACAAAAATTTCAAAGAATGATCTGATTCCTCATTGAAATCGAGGAAGCAAAATGACGCGGGTGTGTAAAAGTCTTCGAGAAGCCAGTCAGCCGTCGTGTATTCTCTCGATGAAGGCAAGAAGAAAAATAGGTACGTGGAATGTCCGTACAATGTACGACACTATGAATGCTATCCAAGTAGCCATCGAAATGCAAAGATCAGGCGTAGAAGTGTAGAGTGTGTGCGAAAGCAGATGAAATGGATGCGTATTATCGAAATTTCAACTGGGGAGTCAGTAATCTACTCAGGTCACCCAGACGACAACCATGAGCATACTGAGGGAGTGGCTATAATGTTTTCGCCAGCAGCAGCCAAAGCCCTAATGTAGTGGGAAGTAACATCATTCGGGATCACGACAAAAAATATTCAACTCAAAAGGAAGGAATGGAGGTTACAATTATTCAATAATATGCACACTGCTACAAACAACGCCAAACAAGAAAAGAAGGAGAATTTTTAAAGACAACTGCAAACAGAAATGGACAACATCCCAAATAGTGACACCAAGATTCTCATATGCAATATGAAGACAAGCGAAACCGGGAAGAGAACTCATAGTGGGTAAAGGGGCTCTCAGAGAAATGAATGAGAACGGAGAATTATTCGCAGACTTCAGTGCTTTAACTTATATCTTTGAATTACGTTTAAATAGTTCGTTCAATACACATCTGTGAAGTCTTTAGCTAGAAATAATGTGCAATCAGTGCAGCTGAAATTCTACCATGCATCCTAACTGGTGTTACTTGCGATAATGATTACTTTGAGAATCGAATGGAATGATTCAAGTTACAGTTATTTTTCAACATTACGGTTTCATTTGAAAAGTCGAGCATGTTAAGGAAAAGAAAATATTACTTATTTAAAAAACTGTCTCTGTTAATTTATAAAATAGGAAAATGAGAAGGTCATGTGTACATACTGGTACGTAAGTGAATTTAGGGTTAGTTAATCAAAACGTAAGCCGAAAAATAAAAGTTGTGTACGAGTGTAAGGATACCACAGGAGTGAATCAGGTAAGTTTTATTAAGAAATGATAAGGAACATCGGATGAATGCAATTCAGCACCTAGTTTATAAGTTCCAAATAAAGTCAGGGTTGCAATAATGGACGGACTTGTTTTTTGGTACACTCACCACATCAGTTATTTCAATTCCTATGGTTTCTGTTGTTTAGAGTAATCGGTAACCAGTGGCATTTCACAATGTATAAGGTAAACAGTAGAAAATGGAGGACTTTTTTGCAATACTTGCTTGGTGATCACATTTGGTCTGGTAAGTCAGAATCCAGCCAATCATTCCTTTCATTACATTTTCGTTTCTTCACACTAGTAAGTGGTCCCGAGTACGAAAAACTAAGTTCCTAGTGCGATGGAAAACATAACACCTGTGGAATATACCACCAAATTTACTGAATTAGGAGCAGAGGGAAAGCAATACTCAGAAGGTTGAATAACCGGACAGCAGCTAGCGATTTCTCTCCAGACCTAAAACGGAACGTCTACGGCTGTGATTGTATTGAATTAGGCATAGTACAACGCCAGCTGCCTTTTGTGGGTTTAGGAATATGCGCTCGTCTCAAACACGTCAGTCTCATAGATACTGGTATTGAGCTGAAAATCTATCTAGTCAGATAAACCATCTAATCCCATCGATCAGCCCTAAACTAGAAGGTTTCAAATCCAATCCAACTGCTGCCATGAATATGAAAACAAATTAAACTGTAAAAGTTTCCTCACAAAAGAACACAGAGAGACTAAAAAACGAGAGGAGTGAAGGAAAAAATACTAGTGATTACAAAATGGAACAAAGGGACAGGAGTAATCCTGCTGGAAGTAAGTATTTTTGAAAAAAAGATCAATATTGCACTGAGTATTAACGAGACATTTCACAAACTGATAGGACAGATAGGAAATAGTTAAATCATGAAATATGGTGAAATAATCAGAAGTGTCGAGAAACTAAGAAAAAAAGTAAATAGATCCCAACATTTTATACGAATTCCTGAAATCCACGGGCACATGCACACCGAAACCATGTGCTTGACCTGAAGCGCATAAAGTTGGAATACTGTTGCGACCAGTCCTAGAGATTTGAATTTCGCCCTACTATACACTGAGTAGGTGATTAGCGACTATTCTTAAACTTTAAATGGTACAGTAGTGAAATACATTGTGAAGACAGTGTTTGAACTCGCGAGAAAAAATAAGGATATTAAAACTATGGTCTCCTCGAACATCATGCTACTCTTCACAGATGTTCTTCGTCGGTGGGAAAGTAATTAGGACTCTCGCCAACTATGCACATGATCCAAGGTTCAATCCCCTGCCGACGCACACCCGATATCTGTTGTCGGCCTGCAAAATTTTGGCTACCGATATCATATGCTGAAAATGCCATACTTGTACCAAAAATACTGTGTGGCATCAAGCTGTAATCAAAATAAAATAAATAAATAAATAATTGAAGCAATCAAACACATTCATAAACAATAAGCAATAAGTGACAAACCAATAAACGTAAAAAGAAGTCTTCTAGTAATTTTTACTTAAGCTTATCGTAAACGAGGATTTTGGAAGCAGAGGTAAACTCTCCAAACAACTGGGTATGGTGAAGATTGGCTTTTCATACTGGTGAATTTCTTCCTGAATGAACTGGAACTCGGTTCACCTGATGACTGAATTAAACGACATATTCTACTGTCATTATACAGGTGAAGACAGTGTTGAAAGGCTTGCCATAATTTCTCGCTCAAGTGAAGTAATTCGGACCATAGTAATTAATCATGATGAAGAATTCCAAAGTAGGGCTGATCCCGCATGTATTCGTCTTACAAGATCAGGTGGCTATGCAGGGAATTTGTATAAGGAGAGTATCTGAAGTAGACGGAATAGAAGTTTCCACAACTTCAGCACAGAAAGTTCAGTGAAGAGACTTTGCTAAGGTAAGTTGGAATGAGCTAGAAACTATATATAATACACTAACTTTAAAAAAATACTAACCTTGTAGTATCAATAAGAAGCACATTGTTGCAAATATGGGAAGGAATTTTGTCACATCGATGAACAAGTAGCCTTTCTACATTCCAGATTAAAACTGATCAATAATCAATACTTCAGGAAACGTTTATGACCATGAAATTGAAACTTAGTTTTCCACATAGCCTATTATGATGTGACCATGAAGAATGGAATATTCACACAGAAATAACGTAAAACTTATTCAGATGGTGTGCAATTAATTAATATTCGATTGCCAAGTTCTTGCAAAATAAAGTGTGCCTGTAAACTTTTAAACGGAAGTGTGATAATGCCTCGTCTTACAAAAGCAATCAAAAAGAAATTCTAAAGACTGAAACATATTTACTTTACGTTAACATCATTATCTCTAATTCGTTTACTGGCGTCAGTGGCATAGCGGTTAGGACGCTCGGCGACCATGCATATGGTCCAGGGTTCGATCCCCGGCCGACTCACTCCTTTACCTCGCTAAGCCAGAAATAATGCTGGTAAAGAGTAAAGGTTGGGCATGGAGCTAGCAACCCATCCTGTAAAATAAACATTGCTACAGAAACGTCAAGCTTCTAGCTTGAAGCCCTATGTTCCACTGGAACTTCGTTTACTGAAAGGAAAAGACAGAGCACATTCGTAAAATGGAATATTCTTTTGTTTCTACTTCACTATTTCTGTTAACGTCATTGTCAATATGATAATTAATGAGGTACTAATGGTTTTTAATGACTTTTTCAACTAAAGCCAATGTGAATAGAAAGCACAAGATTTATCCTTTTCGAGAAAAGCTACAAGTAGCTATTCACTTAACATTGCGAATAATGAGGCATTCGTGATCATCTGGTACTGACACTAGTAGAAACAATGGTTTACATAAATTATACTGAACATTTAAAATTGTAACAGTCATGGATTCACATAGTTTATCAAAGCAATATCCATACTCCGCTTTCAAAAGAAACTTTTAGTCTTTTGTCTACTAATCATCTGCATTTCCTCCTTATATTTATGGTTTAATATTTTACATCGTTTCAGCTACATGCAGAAATGACGAGAATACTCTCAAATCTGTGTGAAGGAGATCAACAGCACTCAGCATGAAGAATAAGATCCGGACTTTCAACTCCAATGTGAAGTCAGTGCTTATACGGATCAGTAACTTGGCGCGTCATGAAGAGCACTTTGAACAAACTACAGACCTTCATCAACAGCTGTCTTTGCTCTGGGAACGAGCCAATCCAGCAGGAACCAATTGTGCAACAAATATACAGGAAGAAATGCAGGTGGATTGGTCATACTCTGAGAAAACCAGCAAGTGAGTGACATCACACGCCAGGCCATCGCTCGAGTGGAACCCGAATAGGAGGCGGCTAGTTGGTCGTCCGAGGGTGATATGGAGAAGGTCGTGTGAAGAGGAGATGAAAGCATGTGGGCAGACGTGGAGCCATATGAAAACGTTGGTAAAGAACCGAACGCATTAGAGACGTTCGGTTGAAGTCCCATGTTCCTCTGGAGACTATAGGAAACAATAATAAATCACAATCTCACATCCGACGTCTATTTAGTTTCAACTATTATTATGTAAACTGCTAACCCTACCTGAGACAGAGAACAGAGATGGTGATGAAAATTGTCTTTCACAATTATACAATCACAATTATATATGATACGGAAGATTTATAGCCCATGAAGATGTTATCTGAGAAGGATGATTTAGTCGCAAGGCTTTAAATGTTCTTCCATACCAAACATTCATCGCGGAATTCATTACAAATTTTCCACGAGTTTCTTGACCTTATTATTACGTCAAAAAAAAGAAGAAACCAGTATCATCTACAAGATAAATTGTGACAACAGTGAAATACATAATATTGGTCTATGTGGATGTCTTCTTTGTCTTCTGCTTCGCAGACATAAACTGGCTGTCAGAAGCCATGAAATGCGTTCCTTCACATCAATGCATGTGAACAACCACAGACACCAATTCGATTAGCAAACCCATAAATTCTAGACTAAGGGGACCTTAGAAATGCAAGGTGATTTCTAGAAGCCTGGTAATCAGAAGAATCTTCAATAAATTGACATAGAAGAAATTGTCAATCAATGTAAAGGAAATCACATGGAAAAATTTAAACTTTCGAGTCAACAGAGTAATCAGTAGCAATGAAAGAGAACTAGATAGTGAAAAAATCTCTTCAAACAACCAGTTAAGTTCAGAGTTATCAGGAGAGATAATAGATAAACTCGTGGAGAACCCTTTGAGTTCACTTCACATTGAAGTGTTTATTGAAGAAACTGTCCAGAAAGATAATGAAGGTGGGGCGTTAGGACAAATACTTGCCGATATCACACTATATCGGGAATTGGCAGAATTTGGGGTTCATGAGTTACCGGATTGGGTCCCAGTGGCCTAATGATCTACGAACTCACTTTGTAACCGGAAGATCCTGGGTTAGAACCCCGGTGGAGCGTACTGACGAAGAGTCCCAAACTAGGACGAAACATCTATCCAGTACTCCACTGGTTCTCTAACCAATGTCAGCTCATGATGAAATCCTATGACCAATCAAACAAATCCCTGCAAACCAACACATGAAAAACATAATGAAGGCATCACAACGAAACCGTTCAGCTTACCACAACTCAATGAGAAAAATACTGAGGACCGAATCTGGAATTAAAGTAAAGCACGTAAACCAGTAAAGTAGTGAATACGGCATTTTACTTATTGAAGGATTATTTATATTTGTAATTAAAAAGCATGGATATGTGAATGCATTAAATCATTTAAAGTCAGTGCATTATGATGAGTTGACAAGGCATAGTAAAAGGAAACAGGTGGTACCTAAATGTTTGTGATCTCGCGCTTTTATTATCCAATCTATGGCGACAAGAAGTAAAATTTGTTTTTAGCTGCATATTCTTTCTTTTCAATGATTCTTCTACGTAAAGTGAGTAACTAATCACACGCTATTTTGGCAAGTTTGAAATGACTTTGTAAATAATACTGAAAATTCATTAATGTATTCGTGATCGTAGTATTACTTACACAGATATTGACATAGATATAAAATTTAAAAATTAAAGTATTTTCATTGAACACGGTATCCAAAACGGGATTTATTTTGAAATATCAGAGGCCTATTTATAATAAGCTTGAAGTTACATCCCAATAATGTGAGATATTTTTGATGAAAGGCTCAAGAAATGAAAGAATTAATTGATAATAATTAATTAGTTGACCACTCTTAATGCACTAGGTCAAGAATGAGGATGAAATGAAAGTCCGGATAACAGTAAGATTCAAAGTAGCATGTAGTGATTTTATTCGCCAAATGATTTACTGAGTAGTTTAAGCAGTGATAGTTTAAGTCCCCAAAAGTGATCATCCTTGTAGTGAAACACGATCCTCTGGTAAAACTTCTGTAACCTGAAAATTTATGATACACTATGATGATTCCATTTAAAGCTTCAGATACCACTCTTGAATCCATCTTAGGATAAATATTTTTTAATGTCATATATAGAATAATTCATAGGAGGGATAGAACTTGAAAAAGGATGTGCAATTATAGGATTAGTAGGCAAATCGAATAAAACAAAAACGTTACGTAATATTGTGTGAAATTTAATAGCATAGAATTTATCGTTGTAAAAAAGAATTGATTTAGAATGACAAGTGGAACAAGTGAAATAATACCGGGGACAGTTCAAAGTGAGAATAGTAATAATAACAATTGACTTAATAAGGAAAAGTATACAAATTGAATAGACAAAATGAAAAATGAAAAATTGGTAGAGCTAAAATATGATTGGGGATTACCATATTTTAGCATAGAGGGATTAAGACCATGAAAGTTGGAGGGGTTGAACGAACTTTTTCTGTACACAGAGATCTGGCTTTTCTGTTTCGATAGCCAAAGCTTCAGCAATACAGATGAGTCGGGTACGTAGGGATTTAGGTAGATTGCTCTTTGCCTTGTAGATGACTTTAAAGGCGGAGGCTATAGAGATAGGGTGATCATTTTCGACCAGATGTTCTATGATCGCGCTTCTTATTGCTCCACTTCCACCTTTTCGTAGCCATGCAGGATAATGTTCTTGCACCCTCTTGGACAAAACTCGAGTCGAACGACCGATATACCTAGCTCCACAAGAGCAGGTGAATTGATAAACGCACATAGAGTTGGTCAACATTGGGATCTTGTCCTTCAGGTTATTGAACAATAATGGTCGGCTAGTAAAAGCTATTCTCAGGGAGGCAGCAGGGAATGTTCTTTTCAGGGACTGTGATATCCTTCGTTTCATGATATCGGAAGCTAAGTCCCCTTTGAATTCTAAGCTCATGTAAAGTATTTTCTTGGGAGCGGTTGATAAGTCACGTTTTGTAGGCTTTGAATGTATATTCTTATCTATAAAACGTGGTGGAAATCCATTTTCCATTAGGATTTTCCTCAAAGTGTATAACTCATCTTCCACAGTATCAGTGCTACATATGCGCCGAATACGAGTGGCAAGCGACCGGACCAGGTTTCGTTTACGACCAATAGGTACCCAGCTATAGAAATTTGTCAGTTGACCATTCCATAACAGCCTACGATAAATCGATCTCTTCAGAGTTCCATCGGTCCTTCTTGATAAGTTCACATCGAGGAAATGAATGCTAGACTCGTTCTCCATTTCGAGTGTGAATTTTATCGCAGGATGGCACTCATTAAATACACTTAATATATTATTCAGGTCACAATCAATATTACAAATAATAAAGGTGTCATCTACATACCTTTTATATATTTGAAAGCTTTGGATCATAGGCTTCAGGGAACCATTTTCTAGACTGGACATAAAAACGTCTGCAAGGAGAGGACCCAAGGGAGAACCCATCGCAATACCATCCTTCTGCCTGTAGATTGTTTCATTGAAAGTAAACTGTACATTCAATGTACATCTCAAAAGTAGTTCTTTAAGATCTGTAGTAGGTATCCCTATGTTCAATTTGTTGTCTTCAATATATTTGCATATAAAACATATGGTCTCTGTCAGTGGAACGTTCGTAAATAAGGATTCTACATCCAAAGACAACATTTGTTTATTCGACGCATTTATATCCTGTATACATTCAACAAATTGGAAGGTGTCCCGAAGGGAATGATTAGATAGTTGCCCCCTGACTGGTTCGAGGATTTCAGCTAACCACCCAGCTACTGGATGATAGGGCGATCCAGACATATCCAAGATAGGGCGAAGTGGAACTCCAGCTTTGTGTATTTTCGGTAGACCATACAGTCTTGGTATTAGAGATCCTGTCGGTCTGATCTTTTCGTATAATTCTTCACGAATGAGATGATTGTTCTTCATTCTCTTTAAAGTATCAGTAAGTTGTTTCTCAATTAATTCCGTCTTGTTTTTCTCGTTCGGTTTCGAGAATTTACTGCTGTCTGAAAGTAGACATGACATTTTATCGATATAATCTTTTCGATCCATAATAACAACACCTGTACCCTTGTCAGGGCGTGTTAATAGTATATCGCTGTTATGCGTCAAAAGCTTAAGTTCTTCTTTGTGCTGTTTAGTAAGAAGACTTTGCATTTTTGATCTAGCATTAAGGTATTGATTGCAGGAGTCCGTAATGGTAGATTTGAAGCATTGGAAATCCTGGTCTGACGATGGTGTGAGATCATAGGTTTGACTGAGTAAATTCTCAAACTGGACATGAGTATGTAGCTTGTTGATATTGAGATTAACATCGCAAAACTTCGAGCCCATAGACAAGGCTTCCATTTGTAATTTCGATAAAGATATAGAGGAGTGGTTGAACACGTATCTCTCCGAATTCTCAGGAAATTTTCGAAGACGTTCGATAGGTTTTAGGCTATTAGATAGCTTCGAATTAAAAGACATAGTTTGTTTGTTGGTGACCACATTGACATAATCATCAAACGTCTGACGTTCATCAACCGATAAGTCATATAGAGCAGAAGATCTTTGTGATATATTCCTTTCTAGCTCAGGGATACGTGAACTGATAGAATCAATGTGATTCAATGCGTGTCTCTTGAGAGATTTTGCATTAGGATATATGTGATTGCGTCGGAGCACTTTCCAATACCATTTCGGATACTCATGATTATTGATGCATTCATTAAGAAAACAAATCTCTGCATTCACCACGGCAAGTTTGACAGAATAACGCAGGAACCCGTTGAGTTCCTTTACTGTCAAGGGATCTTTGCTATTTTCCATGAGTTAAAAAATAGCAAAGATCCCTTGACAGTAAAGGAACTCAACGGGTTCCTGCGTTATTCTGTCAAACTTGCCGTGGTGAATGCAGAGATTTGTTTTCTTAATGAATGCATCAATAATCATGAGTATCCGAAATGGTATTGGAAAGTGCTCCGACGCAATCACATATATCCTAATGCAAAATCTCTCAAGAGACACGCATTGAATCACATTGATTCTATCAGTTCACGTATCCCTGAGCTAGAAAGGAATATATCACAAAGATCTTCTGCTCTATATGACTTATCGGTTGATGAACGTCAGACGTTTGATGATTATGTCAATGTGGTCACCAACAAACAAACTATGTCTTTTAATTCGAAGCTATCTAATAGCCTAAAACCTATCGAACGTCTTCGACAATTTCCTGAGAATTCGGAGAGATACGTGTTCAACCACTCCTCTATATCTTTATCGAAATTACAAATGGAAGCCTTGTCTATGGGCTCGAAGTTTTGCGATGTTAATCTCAATATCAACAAGCTACATACTCATGTCCAGTTTGAGAATTTACTCAGTCAAACCTATGATCTCACACCATCGTCAGACCAGGATTTCCAATGCTTCAAATCTACCATTACGGACTCCTGCAATCAA